TGACATTTCCTCTAGAAACACTCCCCCCCGGAGATCCAATTGGGGGAGTAGTTTGCCTCCAGAGGAAACATCTCGCATACATGGTATCTCTGTTTTTGGAAAGAGACTATCCAGGAAAATTGATAATGTGGTAGTTTTTTCATTTGCTTTCCACATCGCAGTACAGCAGCCGTTCAAACCACTCTGGTCATGCCTGCTGCTATACAAACTTCAACCATCTCGAGCATCATTTGCTCTGTGCTTCAAGTCGCTACTGATGACGCTGCTTCTGGCATCAGTTTTTGGTGTCTCTCTTCATCTGATGCCTACCCTTTGACCTGTCCAGCAAGGGAGGCCCTGCCAGTAGCTACACTACCGCTGGTATAGCTCTCAGGGTCCTTGGCATACTCAAACCCCCTCACCACGATAAGGTGGAGACACCAACAAGGGGGACATGTTTTAGTAGAGAGCTAAAACCCAAAAACAAACAAAATCTGGTCAAGGAGCAGTCACACGTTGCAAGTATATTTACTTCGACAGACTACTTTTCCTCATTCCTGACATTGAGCAAAGGAGAACGGAGTCTAATGTTGGCCCTCGAGAAGATGAAACAGAAAATATTTCAGACTGTGATATTGCTGACGAGGGAACACCACGCCGTCCCATGTTATCATTACCGGCAAAGAAAAGGAGGCTGAAAAAGAATGAAACATATGAGGAACAGCTTCTACAAATATTGAAAGAGAAGACAACTGCAACTTCCGTAGATGAAGATATAAGTTTCGCACTGTCCTTGGTGCCAACATTAAGGTCTTTACCCGAGGGAAATAAATTACAGGCCAGGATTGAAATTTTAAATACCTTACAAAAGTTTAAATTTCAGTCGGCTACCAGCATGTTCCATCAAAATCTGCGGGCGAATCCCGTTACTGTGTTTCATTCAGCACCATCTCCATCCATATACCACTCCCATAACTAGCAGTATCACCCTATTCCTACTCACATTCATTCAAACCCACCGCCCATCACTTCTCACCAGATGAGCTTTCCTCCTTTTCAGCCCTCTGTTCAGCAGTTTTGTCACTCAAACACTGCATTTCCTCCAAATATGCTACAAGTTAATCAAATAATCAATGATCCTTCATCATCCACAAGCATGCAAAATGAGCCCGCAGTTTCACCTGCTAGTGTTGCTTCCGATCCGTCAATGAGCTCTTTCATTTCCGAATCTACTGTTTCAGATATTTCAGATCTGGACTAATGAATTGTTCTGTTTCTGTGTTGCTTAAAGGCTTGTAGAATGAAAACAAACCCAAGTTTAAACGAAAAGTTCTATGAGACTGAATATGTACCTTTAGTTTTTTGCCAGTTATTGACTTCTTCTCTTCACTTTTAAGTTCAATAATAAATGATATTGCTTCGAGTCAATTAAAAGTAGAAACAAAATAAACGTTTCTTCTATAATCACATTATTATTTACAATTATAGTGCTATAATTAATGTAGCCCTATGTCAATTGAAACTAATAAAAATACAATAAAAACAACAATGATGATTATTATAATAATAAAAGTATTCTTATTCCCTTACCTTAGTGTTACAATCAGTCTTTCTTCAGGTGGTACATCCAATCTCCATCTTGTATTCTTGTACAAGATATGAGGTTTCAGAAGAAGCAACAGTTCATCAAAACTATCAACACTCATTCTGCAATAATTGAAAAATTTTGATGGGTATTGTCTCAGTTCATGGTACAATGTGTAAAATTTCCCTTTTAACAGACGTTCGCTATAAATAAGGTGAACCCAATATTCCCGCTTCCTTTTTTTTCCTTAATCTTAACAATAATGCACATACTACTGCTGTACCGTACACATCCATGCTGCGACTGACCAACTGCTCATTGGCGTAGTTGTGGACAACTCGAAATTGTATGTATGCGCACGTCCCTTGACAGTCGTTGGGCCTCAACGATCATGCACAACTATCAGCCAACTAAAAATTGCATGTGTGCGCTAGGCCTCACTTCACCACTTTGTAATGCTGCCTTGTTAATAGAGCTAATGATGGGTTACTGAAGAGAAGTGGAATGGCATATACTAGTGTGCTGTTCATATCAGGTTTCATGGAATTCCATCTGTAAGTTCAAAAATGTAATGGGGAAGGGAAGGGGACGGGAACACCATAAGTCTTTCCTTTTAAATAAAAAATATGGGCTAAGGGAAGGATAATTTTTATGCAGTGCATACTTTAACCAAAGGCAAAGAAAGGTAGATTTTTTAGTTTGAAGTTTAGGTAATTTGGATTGAAAGTAACACCATTATCTTTATTTTAAATTAATTGACTAATATAATGACAAAATATTTATTTCTTACATCAGTCATGTCTCATCTAATTCAGGGTTGTGTTTTTTGACAGTTTGGGGCATGTTGAAGCTTAATGAGGATGTCATATCAGTGGGACACTTTACAGTCTTTAGACTTCATAAAAGTTATCCCTGTAACAGGTCATGAAGGCCTGTAAGGTTGTGAGATGTCGAGGCTCCCACATTTTCTTTAGACAGTTAGCTCACAGATGGCGGTAAGGTTGTCAGCATCATGTGACAGCCACCATTTACCCATATTAAGATTCCTGGTACTCATTTCTGTTAGAGGCTGAGTCGTCCCTAGGGCCATAGTGAGGCTGGAAGGATTAGGTCAATTAAAAAATCCACCTCATCGGGACTCAAACCTGCGACCTTGTGGCTTGTAGCATAGTGCCTCAACCAACTACGCTACCACGTGCCCCATTTGGAATTAATGGCATTGCTAAAACTTGAGCTGTATGTGCTGTAATTAAAATGATATTTATTATACTCACCAGATTTGTTCCAGAGAGCACACAGTAGCATAGTTGCTTGAAGCCCTGTGCTATATGCCAGAATGTTGCAGGTTCGATTCCCATTGAAGTCATTGGAATTTTCAGTTCACCTGATCCCTTCAGCTGTACTATGGCACTGGGGTCGAGTCAGCCTCTAACAGAAATGAGAATCAGGGATCTTCCGGGGGTAAAGAGCAGCTGACACATAAGGCTGACAACCTCACCACCATGTGGGAGCCTTGATGTCTCAGAACACTATGGGCCTCCACAGCCTGTTCCAGGGATTGCTTCAGCTCTTACCAGATTTGTTCCAGATATGATAAATATGATGAAGTTGGAGTATGTGCCACTTTGCTGTGAATGGATCCATTGTCCAGGAGATGCAGTTGCAGCTCTAGCAGTGTGAGTTTGTACAGTGGTGTAAAGTGGTGTAGTGTAGTTTCACTATAATTGTTCTGAATCTGTTCCCTCAAGTGATTCTTAAATAACTTCTATATCCCATGGACTTTATGTTGCAAGAAACAATTGATTCATACAGATAGTAGATAAAATGCTTATTTCTGTAACATATTGGTGAATGGGTGTTCAGCCTGAAAGCTCATGATCTTATTCAAATTGTTATGATCTTTTTTTCTACTGTATATATTTTGCTTGAAGTTTGTATGCATATTCACAAGGGTGCCCATTGACTTTATGGTATCGCCTGAAACTGCTGCCTTTATGGATAGGCATCTTGCCAAAGAAAAAATATACCTGATGTTTTTTGTCATTTTATTGAGCAGTATGTAGTATGAGATGGCCTTGATGATTTTTCTCTTTCCTTTATGCAGCAGTTTTCTCTAGCTTAACCCTGTTTCATATCACAATAAAGTCTGTGGGGGTTTGGGATTTTGGAACTGTATCCACCTCCCCTTCACATGCATGGCATCCTTTCCATCCTGTATTTGCCTACGTGTCCAGTAATCTGTTATTTCAAAAAGAAATTTCTTGTACTTCAGTTGACTTCCAGACATTTGTGTCTTGTAAGTTCTAAATGAGTTAGAGAGAGAGCACAGTTTATTATTAGCCAGAGAACAACACTTTTACTCCAGTTTGTTGCTTTTCTGAAGTACAGCATTTCAACAGGTACTGATCTATTCTGTTGACCCCTTTCATGTACCAGCTATAGTCAGTGTTACTTTGGGGTTTATTTCCTCATATCTGTTCTGTGCTTACCATTCCAAGTTCACTGCTGTCTTTCTGTATTTGGAGTAAAATTTAATTTATCTGATGGAAGTTTTACTTCCTGCTTAAATGTTTTCCTTCCCCCATCAAATTATTGGCATGAAACCTTCAGGTATCCCCCATTATACTAAAGACTGCTTTTCTAGGGAGTGCATTTTGTGCAATAGATATAGTGCTATAATAATTATCTTTGTACGTATAGTGCCACAGATCCAAAATATATTCCAGCTTTGTGCCTTAACAGTATCCACATATTACAGATGTAGCCACTGATGGTCCCACACAACATGTGTACAATTATTCCATATTTCACAAGTTTCCCCTTTCTGTGTGTTTTTAATTTGCTGCAGCCCCTCCACTGTATCAGTTTGCATCTAGTGACCATTCTCGCACTGGTTTATAATTACTAAGGGCGTTCCGTATATAATGCCTCCTATTTTTTTTAAAGAAAACTACAACAGATACAGAAATCATAATAACGCAGCTAAATAGAGCAAGATTTCGGCTACTTACAGCTATTTTTCCACATAATCACCACCATTCGTTATGCACTTTTGCCATCGATGAACAAGAGCCTGTATGCCGCGCCCGTAAAAGTCTGCGCCAGCAGAGGCTAGCCACTTTCTTACAGCTGCAATGACAGCATCGTTGTCTGGAAAATGTTGCCCACGTAGTCCGTCTTTCATAGGCCCAAAGAGATGGAAGTCTGAAGGTGCTAAATCGGGGCTATAAGGTGGATGTGGTAGGACAGTCCAGCCAAACTTTGCAATGTGCACGGTGGTCGCCAAACTTGTATGGGGTCTAGCATTATTGTGTTGCAAGCGNCTTGGGGAATCCGGATGTTGCCACTCCACGGACTGTCTTTTGGATTCCGGCTCATAGTGGTGACACCACGTCTCATCTCCAGTGACAGTGCTGTCCAGAAACTTGTCACCTTCAGCTTCAAACTGGTGCAACAGGTCCAGACAGACTTCCATTCGATGAGTTTTGTGGTCCTGTGTAAGCATCCGTGGGACCCGCCTGGAACAAACTTTGCAATAATCCAGCTTCCCCAACATCATTTCCAATGCATTACAGTCAATATTAAGCCATGCACTCAGTTCCCTGGTCGTTATCCACTGATCTGAACGGATGAGCTGATCGAGGCACTGTTCATTGTGAGGAGTAGCGGCTGAGCAGGGACGCAGGGCATGGCTTGTAGTGCACTTCACTTTCGCCACTGTTAAAACGCACTACCCACAGCCTCGCTGTGCTGACATCAACTGTATCGTCTCCGTACACCTTTAGCAAGCGTCGATGGATGTCAGTGGCTGCAATTTGTTTGGCAGTGAGAAATTTAATAACACATCTCTGTTTCGTACACACTTCTATGTCAGACGCCATTTTGGTAGACTGCTCTGCTGTCACTATCTGTCGCACGACAACCAAATTAACAGTACATTGGCGGGAAGGTTCAACCTTTACTACAACACCACCAACATCCAGCTCAGACATTACATATTAACACAAAACAATAGGAGGCATTATATACAGAACGCACCACGTATATTTATAATACTAAATGTATTACAATTCCCTTAATTTTTGTAATTTCCTCTACAAAAATTTCTCCATAATAGGAATTTTGGAGATGTCATATTTATCTGAATGGTTTCTGTGGCATAAGACCAATCAGCAGACATATGTAAGATTTGAGGTTTTCACGGCGGTGACTATGAGGAAAGCAGTCTTCTGGGATGTGGCGCCATGTAGATGTGGTGTTAACCAATGTTTCAGATCTACAAGGCCACGCAATTCCAGGACTGACTCACATAGCAACTCCCTAGCTTAAGGGTTAATGCCCTCCAATTAACCTTGCCCCCCCCAGACACAACATCCTATACGTGCTCTAACCTTGCTCCCGCTCCTCAGATCCTTCCGCTCTCCCTCTCCACTGATTTCCCATGTAGCCTTGTCCCTTCCTTTCCTGCTCTCATATAGCTGAGTTTATTTCCAACATTAGTCTACTTGCACCTGTTCTCACTCTCTTCGCTTGCGGATTTTCTTTTTTTTTCCTTCTACCCTGAAGATGGAGGCGATACATTCCTCTGTAACGTTGGTTAACACCACATCTACACAGCGCCACATCCCTGAAGACTGCTTTCTTCAATCAGCAAACAGTTTGAAGAGTTCATCTCCAAGAATCAGCTGCCTCAGGAAAACTTCAGAATTATTAGATACATGTGTGAGACCTTTGACATCCAGAAATTGTTCCGAATTCATTGCATCATCATTTCTGTCCAGTTATGGTTATTATCAATACTTCCCATATCAGGAGTGCTTACATCTTTAGGTTCACTTGAACTCATCACAGAGCAATGGCTGTGTATCTGCACTGACATAGGTTACTGTGTCATAACCTCTGTTGCCCCGATAGAAATCTCCTACTACAATGCACTAGGCCCTGGGGTTTACTCTCTAACAGAAATGAGTACCAGGAATTAATTAAATAATTTTCTTTGGGAGTAAAGCGCAGCTGGCGCGTAAGGCTGACAACCTTACCGCCATCTTTGAGCCGATTGTCTAGATAATGTGGGACCCTCAACGTCCCACAACCCTAAGGGCCTTCACAACCTGGTACAGGGATAGCTTTACTTACTTACTTACAATGCAGGTGGCTTGACTTATATTTGGTGGTAATAGGATTTGTACGGTAAACAATGTGAAGCCATTTCTGCTGGGCCCTGTTGAATCAGCACATATGCTGCCTCAGTTGCATGACATGTGGACAGTGAAAGATACAATTATCTGTTGAACGGTGAATGAGAAATGTTAAAATGGTATTTGTGTTATTACCCATTCTTATATATAATTTTGTGAACTGTAGTAGAAAAGCTTGAGCCATACCAGCTTACATGTATGTTGTAGAAACTGCACCTAATTTTCCAAATTATTGTTTTCATTGCCTTTTATCTTGATAGCTTATCTACTGAAGTTTGTATTGTGCGTGAGGATCAATGCTGGCTCTTGTGAACATTGTAATGCACCTTCAGGTTCCATAAAGAGCAGGGAATTTCTTGACTAGCTAAGTGACTGCTCACTTTTCAAGGAAGACTGTGCTCCGTAGAGTTAGTTGTATTGTGCTGTAATTGGTCATAATGGGAGATCTTATTTAGTCAGATTGCTACATTTTGCTTTCCTGAATAGGTCTGATGCAGATTCAAACAAGATCTATGTATATGATGGACAAGGAGTAAATGCTCATATACATGTCTTCGAGAAACTTCACACAAAACCAGTGGTTATCATTAAGGTAGATGAGCAATTGTGTTTAAAATTGTGCAGATTTAAAGTTAAAGTTAAAGTAATAATTTCTTCACATCTTGATATGAATGTTCAGATAGTTCCTTCAACTCCAGTGGAACAGAGTTAGAATGGAAAACATAGTAATATTCAGTGCATGATACCGCCGGGTCTCAGAGAATAATCTTTAAGAAATGCATCCTGTTGTGTTAGCTTATATCAACTGTGTGTTTTATTCATCACAATACAAAACACTACATATTTTAGCTTATAGAAGCCATCATCAGGCAGGTGTACATTACTGGCTATTCTCGAACTGTTGAGTTGCTTTCTCTGTAGGTAGATGTTACAGTATTACAGTTATTGCTAATATATTGAATTTCTAGCATTCTGTTAAATTGCTAAAATTATTGTCTTTCTTATATACCTATTGTCTAGATTAAAACTTTATGTTAACTAGTATATACAAATGTTTATACAGTGGCATAAAATATAACAATAGATTTAAAATTATAAAATAAATTACAAAAGTTTATAATTATAAAATACACTTAAATATTTTTCATTTCATGCATCCTGTTGTGTTATAATATATAATGTCTTTATTTGTTGTGACTGTTTTAATAAAGAAATTATACACTTAGATATTGTTATAATATTACATTGCAAACATGATGTTATAATATGTAGTGGTCTACGGCCAACGTTCTATTCCAATTTTGTTCTCCTTTGAAGTAGTTGTGTTTTAGGAACTAGTCAGTGTGATGTACACTGTCATTTCTAGTCTGTTTTTTTCTGTAAATAATTAACACATAAATATAATCATTTTTTTTCCTCGGTTGGATGTAATATTTGTTGAAGTATTGGTCTACGTTTACATTCAAATTACATTGTCTACTTACTACTTTCAGGTTCCTATATTTCCTGTATTTCACTCTCCGATCTTGTTAACAGTCAGTTTGCAGCTGGTCTAGTGGTATACATTATGTTCATTAAATTTTGGGTATGATGGGAGGAGGGAAGGGGTGTTATAGTGGGATGTGTTGTGAGTGTAGTTGGATAGTTTAGTCCGGTTGTTCTTCATTTCCTTGGTAGGCTGATATTATTACTTCATAAGTGGGATTATATGTCTCGGCGAAATTATCATTCAATTGCATATTTCGCTCACTGATTTCATGTACGAGTATATGAAATCTCTTGTAAGTATCCAACACCTGACCCTTTTTTTTTTCTATGTGTAAGATTTTCATCGCTTTCTCTATTGTTTCATATTCACATGTAGTATCTAATGTATGCTGAGTGAATTTGGAGTTTTGTCCGTTATTCTTTATGTCTCTTATATGTTTGACCGTGTCTCACGGTGTTGTCGTTTGCAGATTTACTTATACTTTTTCTTCAACCCTGAAGATGGGGGCGATACGTTCCTCCGAAACGTCGGTTAACACCACATATACACGGTGCCAAATCCCAGAAGACTGCTTTCTTCTCTTATATGTTGTTTGAATCTGATTTTAAATGTTTGTCCTGCTTGTCCTATATATTTTCATGGACAGTCTGCACATTGTAATTGGTATTCTCCACTCAGGTTATATTTCCCATTGTTTTCTTTTATTCTTAATAAGTGTTTTATATTATTCTTGGTTCTATATGATATTCCAATTTCAGTATTCTTGAATAATTTTGTAGTTGTTCTAGTCTCCAGTCCGAAAAATGTGAAAGTGGCTCATTTTCATTTTTGTTGTTTGTTATTCTTTTGGGGGGGGTTCTTATTTTTGTTGTATAATATTCTGTGGGTAATTATTATTGTCTAGTATAGTTGTAATGATAGTTTTTTCCTTATTTTTGGTGTTATATATAATTGGGTATTTATTCATTCGGTTAATGAGAAAGTTTATGGCAGCTTTTTCGTGCTCATATGGGTGGTATGAATCGTGAATGATTAAATCTGTGGTTGTGGGTTTTCTGTACTTTCCTAATTGCAATTTATTATGCATTTTTTCAATAGATATATCTAATGTATGTTAATTTCACAAGAAATATATTATATTTTATGGATAAGTAGGCTTTTATGACGTAAGGCTAATTTTATATTTGTTTCCACAGTACAATCCTGTGTTTGAGGTGGCAATCTCTGTGGATCGGGCTGGAATACTGGAATATTGGACAGGACCCAATACAGAGTATAAGTTCCCCAGATGTGTGTTATTTGAGTCAAAACTTGACACTGATCTGTTTGAATTTGCCAAGAGTAAAACATTTCCTACCGGATTGAGCTTTTCACCAGATGGAAAAATATTTGTGACACTTTCAGGTGACAGAAAGGTAGTTCACAATTTAAAATTTGGAATTAATAATATGCATGGTAGATGTTGTAAGCAGTACATTCTTGATTATTCATGTGCAGATTAACTGTGGAACTTTAAGAACCATTTAGTTCTTGCTTGTATTTTCCTATTATTGTTTAAGTGTTGCCCATTGTATCTGTTTTAGTAGATTGTATGAGTGATGGTTTAGAATGTTTTGCAGTAGACTGTAAATATTATCAACCTACTGGTACTTTCTGTTTTATTATTTTATTTCTTTTTGCACCAGCTTGCTACCACTAAACAAGAGCTTTGTTTTTTTGTTGGAAAGACATTTATCTCCCTGTTTAGTGACCAGTAGACTACAGTCTAGAGATTGGACTCAAGTCTACAGTTCATTACAGGTGTTAACCTCACACAGAGTTAGATACCATATTCGGATTATCTGTTCTTTATTATCAGCACTACTGCAACTAATCACAGGCTCAGTGTAATTTTAAAAATGGTGAAAGGAAGTAATGCAGGTGACACATTCACTACTATGTACTTCAGTAGAAATTTTACCTTCTGGACGATACATTTTTCCCAAGTCTGTAGGGTTTTCACCTTACTTCACAAAAGAAATTGTATACCTCCAAAAGGAACTGACAAAAATGAACGGTATTCTCAACATATCTTTCATTAACCAGTGTATACTTTTTATAAGATCATACTTCAACCCAGCACAGTACTACCCTGGTTTTATTCATATCTGCCATTATTGTAAACAGCCACATGGAAAATACAATTTCCAGAATGAAAAGGAATTCATAATATGGAAACCTGTCACTAATGGTACATGTTTCAGCTCAGTGAAGCTTCCTTTGGATCTGAAAATTCTTTGAGATTCAGCACTTAAAAATTCCTGTTTTCACATGTAGAATTCATTGTTTTCCAGTATTGACCAAAATTGAAAGATGTCAGATTATATTAAACTCCCCAATGTCATATTTCATGAAAAGCTGTTCATCAGTTCTTGAGTTGTTACATGTGGACAGGCAGTAGGTTAAGGGATAGTTTTCTGTTAGTCAGTAGAATATTCCAGTGTTTATTGCTGCTTCTGCTGTTGTACTCTTCTGCTACTGTGTTGTGAACATTTTAACTTAACATTTAATAATGTTAAATACATGAAAATTTAATAGTTATAATTATATGAGCAACATGCAAGGTATTTATATCAGTGCTTCAGTCAGAGGATAATATTAATATTTTAAAGAAATAGAAGTGAAGGTGTGAGCTGAATTTACAAGGCTCAGAATAGGTTCCATTGGTCGTCTGTTATGAAAACAGTAATGAGTTCTGTAAGAGGTGGGAAATTTCTTGAACAGTTGAATAATTATCCACTTCTAAAAAAAATCTGCTGCCTGTAGTTTGTTAATAAAGTAAAAAGAAAAATGTGTAATATTAATGTGTATCCAAACAGACAGAATCACTTACAATGTTTTCAAAGCGTAAAACAAGCTTGATAATGGTGAAAAATAAACAGTGAATATTAAATCTTGTTCGCTCAGTTGATTCATCTGAATTTATAATGTCACAGGTAAGAGTCTTCAAGTTCCAGACGGGTAAATTAAGTAAAGTGTTTGATGAGTCTCTGCAGAGATTTTCTGAGCTTCAACAAGAGAGACTAATACTACCCAATATGGAATTTGGAAGGAGGTAAGCAAGTGGGAATAAACAGTACAAATTGTATAACCTGTGGTTGAATTGCTCAGTCTTGAAAAATATTTGGGTTGCTCTAATATGGCATTAACATGTTTTGGAAATTGTTAACATGTGGTATTGTTTGATGACCGTGCATATTTCCTTCTTTCTCCTCATACCACTTGTTAAAAATTCAGAAATTTTCTTGTTATAGGGTAGGAATATACAGTTCCAGTTTTGTAGGGAACACTAGTCATATATTGGCATTAGACTAATAATACAGTTCTACCATAAGCACAACTATAATTTATTAACTTATGTTTCACTACATGTTTTGACCCTTATAGGGCCATCCACAGGTGTTGTGATTTACATCTTTTCATTATTGAATTGTAAGCATGTATTCATATTTACACACATATGCTTAAAATGACTACTACATGCATTTATCTTCTAACCACTAGATGTTAATTTAAATACAAGATATATATATATATATATGAACTAAAAGTTAAAAATTAAAATTTTACTAATTTTTCAAAATTAATTTGAAAGTGTCGTATGCTGTATTCAGCATAGTGTCTGTTGCTGTGGTAGACCACGCAGCAAAGCATGCCACAACAACACAACAACAGTAACAAACGACATCCTGGTAATAAGAAAGAAGATAAATTTGTGCTGAAGAAACAGCACAAATGAATCTAAGCAATAAAAGAAGAAGGAGACGAACAGATGTGGGTCTACTACAGCAACAGACACGTGGCTGAATACAGCATGCAGCACTTTTAAATTAACTTGCCTGAGTGCCACTTTGTGGGAAGCTGGAAAGACTGACTGCCTGAGAAAAAACAGGTTTCAGTTTTATGTAAAACATCAGTTACAGTATCTGTATTTTAATTATTGGGTTTTTAGATTGCAGACCAGAAGATAAACGATTCTGGACTGATTGGTTGTAAGCATTCCCCAAATTTACCTGCCTTTTAACTTGTTTGGGAATGTTATTTTGATTTGTCACTGTCATTCCCAAATATCGGAACTATAACACATTTTTTTAATTTATTTATTTATTTATTCACTTCACATCCATGGATCATTATA